CGCTTATTCGGACACTGTTGCATGATGGCAGATATGTAATTATGGTGTTTACTGACAATTTCTCATGCCTTAGAGTTCGAATACTCAGACACTTATTCGAACGTTCTCGCATGATGGCAGACATGTCATTATGGTGTTCAGTTACAATTTCTCACGCATTAGGGTTCGAATACTAGGACACTTTTCGAACCCTCTTGCATGATGGTAGATGTGTAATTATAGTGTTTACTTACAATTTCTCATGCATTGGGGTTCGCATATCTGAACATTTATTCGGACCCCCTTGCGAGACGGCAGATATGTAATTATGGTATTTACTTACAATTTCTCATGCATTAGGATTCGAATACTTGAACACTTATTCGGACCCTCTTGCTTGACGGCAGATATGCAACTATGTCATTTACTTACGATTTCTCATGGATTAGGGTTTGAATACTTGGACACTTATTTGGACGATCTTGCATGATGGCATATATGTAAGTATGGTGTTTACTTACAATTTCTCATGCATTGGGGTTCGAATACTCGGACACTTATTCGGACACTCTTGCATGACGGCAGATATGTAATTATGATGTCACTTACAAGTTTTAATGCATTTGGGTTAGAATACTCGGACACTTATTCGGACCCTCTTGCATGATGGCCGATAAGTAATTATGTGTTTATTTACAATTTCCCCAAATTAGGGTTCGAATACTCGGACTCTTATTCGGACCCCCTAGCATGATGGCAGATATGTAATTATGGGGTTAGTTACAATTTCTCATGCATTGGAGTTAGAATGCTCGGACATGTATTCGGACACTCTTGCATGACGGCAGATATGTAATTATGGTGGTAATTTACAATTTCTCATGCATTACAATTCGCACACTCATAAATAATTATGGTGTTTACTGACAAGTTCTCATACATTAGGGTTAGAATAATTGGACACTTATTCGGACCCTCTTGCATGATGGCAAATATGTAATTATGGCGTTTATTTACAAGCTCTCATGCATTAGGGTTCGAATACTCTGACACTTATTCAGACCCTTTTGCATGATGGCAGATATGTAATTATGGTGTTTACTTACAATTTCTCATGCATTAGGGTTCGAATACTCCAACACTTATTCGGACCACCTTGCATGATGGCAGATATGTAATTATGGTATTTACTTACAATTTCTCATGCATTAGGGTTTGAATACTTGGACACTTATTAAGACCATCTTGTATGATGGCAGATATGTAATTGTGGTGTACCTTACAATTTCTCATGCATTTGGGTTCGAATACTCGGGCACTTATTCGGACCCTCTTGCATGATGACAGATATGTAATTATGTGTTTACTTACAATTTCTCATGCATTAGGGTTTGAATACTCGGATACTTATTCAGACCGTCTAGTATGATGGAAGATATGTAATTATGGTGTTACTTACAATTTCTCATGCATTTGGGTTCCAATACTTGGACACTTATTCGGACTCTCGTACATGATGGAAGCTATGTAATTATGGCATTACTTACAATTTCTCATGCATTAGGGTTTGAATACTTGGACACTTATTCAGACCGCCTTGTATGATGGCAGATATGTAATTGTGGTGTTACTTACAATTTCTCATGCATTTCGGTTCGAATACTCAGACTCTTATTCGGACCCTCTAGCATGATGGCAGATATGTAATTATGTGTATACTTACAATTTCTCATGTATTACGGTTCGAATACTCGGACACTTATTTAGGCCGTCTTGTATGATGGCAGATATGTAATTATGGTGTTACTTACAATTTCTCATGCATTTGGGTTCGAATACTAGGACACTTATTCGGACCCTCTTGCATGATGGCAGATATGTAATTATGGCGCTTAATTACAAGTTCTCATGCATTAGGGTGCGAATAATCGAACATTTATTTGGACCCTCTTTCATGATAGCAGATATACAATTATGGTATTTACTTACAATTTCTCATAGATATGTAATTATGGTGTTACTTACAATTTCTCATGCATTTGGGTTCGAATACTAGGACACTTATTCGGACCCTCTTGCATGATGGCAGATATGTAATTATGGCGCTTAATTACAAGTTCTCATGCATTAGGGTGCGAATAATCGAACACTTATTTGGACCCTCTTTCATGATAGCAGATATGCAATTATGGTATTTTACTTACAATTTCTCATGCATTAGGGTTCGAATGCTCTAACACTTATTCGTACCCTCTTACATGATGGCAGATACGTAATTATGTGTTTACTTACAATTTCTCCAAATTAGGGTTTGAATACTCGGACTCTTATTCAAACCCCCTAGCATGATGGCATATATGTAATTATGGGGTTTACTTACAATTTCTCATGTATTGGGGTTCGAATACTCAGACACTTATTTGAACACTCTTGCATGACGGCAGATATGCAATTATGGTGTTTACTGACAATTTCTAATGCATTAGGGTTCGAATACTTTAACACTTATTCGGACCCTCTTGCCTGATGGCAGATATGTAATTATGTATTTACTTACAATTTCTCCAAATTAGGGTTCGAATAATTGGACTCTTATTCAGACCCCCTACCATGATGGCATATATGTAATTATGGGGTTTACATATAATTTCTCATGCATTGGGGTTCGAATACTCAGGCACTTATTCGAACCCTCTTGCATGATGGCAGATATGTAATTATGGTGTTTACTTACAATTTCTCATGCATTACGGTTTGAATAATTGGACACTTATTCGTATCCTCTTCTTTTTTTTGGGTGAATAAGACATAAATAAAAAAACAGAGATTACACAGCTACAAGGGGCATACCCCAGGACCTAACAAAAACTATACAAGATCAAAAGAAAAAGGTGAACTCACACAACCAGCAACAGCCAAAATAAAACAGGACCAGAAACAAACAAGACTATAACTGGAGAAAGGAAATCAAAACATGGGAAAATTATAACCCCCCCAAAATATGTTCATGAGCCGCATAAATTCGAATGAGGACCATGAACACATCCAAACAGCGAACCAAATCTGAACGAAATCAGCCCATAAACGGCTACAACTAGCAGCAGACACAAAATGAGAGACCATGTACGTCCCACACGGCTAGGCCAAAAAGAGTGACAACCTAGCAAAACACTCATAGTCCATACACAGTACAATAAAATAAAAATAAAAGAAAGACAAGTATCCACAAAGGCGCTACAAGCAGCCATCATCAAGTGCCAGAAAACACGACCACCCTTAGTGCCATCGAACCCACAGCAGTCCATACAGCCCCAATAGAACTCAAACATTATAGTGGACCCACAGCAGCCCAATCTGCCCTGCATAGGAATATCATAACAGCCACATCCTTCAGACACGTAGCACGTATCCCTATCCAGGCAGCCACCATAAAGCTCAAACATTGTAATAGACCCTGTAGAAGAAATCAGAAGACCAAGCCATTGGACTTACCAAAGACAAAACATAGCAGCAGCACACTCAATGTAGGAACTCTCATCACACTAATTAGCTTAGCCACTAATTGTTTCCAAAGATTTTTCAAAGATTGCTATACCGTTGACTCAACTAACCCGGAAAAGGGAATTGTTTAAATGAACAGACCAAAGAGAATTTGCATTCCAAGAGTTGAAGACAAGATTGACCACAACTCCAATCCTTACTTTACCATTAGGTACCAAGGGATTTGTGATTTTTAGTGATGCTTCTTACAAAGGCTTGGTTTTTGTCTTAATGTAGAATGGCAAGGTAATCGCTTACGCATCCCGACAATTGAAACCACATGAGAAGAACTACCTGATACATGACTTGGAACTCGTTGTTGTTGTATTTGCATTGAAAATATGGTGCCACTAAATTTACAGAGCAAAATGTGAAGTGTACAAGAGTTTGAAGTACTTCTTCACATAGAAAGAATTGAACATGCGGCAAAGTAGGTGGCTTGAATTGATTAAAGATTACGACTTGCAAATTCAATACCATTCGAACAAGGCCAACACTGTAACCAATGCATTTAGTAGGAAGAATGTGAGAACCTTGGCTTGTTTGGTTGCATATAGAAGAGTGCTTTTACAAGAAATAGATAGAATTGAAATAAAAGTTGTAACTTATGAACAAAACAGTCTATTGGCCGCAATTTCAACACAACCGGTGATCATAGAAGAGATTAAATAGAAGCAAGTAAATGATGAATTCCTTAAGAAGATATGTGATGAGTTTGAGACCAAGCCTAGACCGGGGTTCACAATTGAAGGTCAAGTACTGAAATTCCCAGGAAGGCTCTGTCTTCCTAACAATGTAGAATTGAAAATGAGGATATTGGTGGAAACTCACAAATCGAAGTTCGCTATGCATCTGAGAAATACCAAAATGTACTAAGACTTGAAGAAAATGTATTGGTGGCCTAACATAAAGGACATTGCTGAATTCAATTCTAAATATCTCTAGTGTCAACAAGTAAAGTTGAACATTAGAAACCCACGGGGATTGCTTCAACCTTTAGACACCCATTTTTGACCGCTTACAAGACTTGGACGCTTTGTCCTATGACTCGATGATGAAGTTGTGTTGATTGTGATTCGACCGAATTTGTTCCAAAGAGGACTAATGGGATGCCAATTATCAAACCAAAGGAAAGTGGTGTCCCCACACCCAATCTTATGCTTAATCAGTGGGGAAACCCACTTCCTAAGAGACAATAATTTTCTCCACACCCAAGAAGGATCATTAGGAACCTTAACTTTCCGGAAACTCTTCCCCTTTAATAAGTCGGATTTGACCCACTGGCACCACATCGATCCCTCACCCCCAGAAAACAAAAACCAAATGTGTTTAGCTATGGCCGCTCTATTCCAAATTTCTAATGATTTAAAGCCCAAACCTCCCTCGTTTTTCGGAGCACACACAGAATCCCAGGCAATTTTGGCACTATGAGTTTTAAGATCAGTACCAGACCAAAGGAAGGCTTTAAGAATACTATCAATCTACCTAATGACCTTCTTGGGAAGGATGAAAAGGGAGGACCAGTACACTTGCATAGAAAAGAGAATGGATTGAATGAGCTGGCTTCTACCAGCGTAAGACAAAGCTCTATTGGTCCAGCTCTTCACTCTTTTGGTGATCCTATCAATGAGAGGACCACAGTCAGCAGCCCTCAACTTTGTGGTAATTAAGGGGACACCAAGGTACCTAACAGGAAGAGTACCTTCATTAAACTTAGCAATCTCAAGAATAGAAGCTCTCAACTCCATATCACAACCAGAAAAGTAGATGTTACTTTTGCTGGGATTAGGAATTAGGCCAGACAAGGATGAAAACTCCTTAAAGCCTTCCATAATGAGCTTAACAGTAGAGGCATCACCCCTACTAAAGATCATAAGATCATCAGCGAAGCAAAGATTAATCATTTTAGTCTTGTCGCACTTCCAATGAAACTTAAAAAGAGGGTGCTTAGCTTTCTCCGCCAAGATTTTGGCCAGGATTTCCATGGCCAAAACAAATAAGTAAGGGGACATAGGGTCACCTTGTCTAAGACCTCTAGCACCTTTAAAATAGCCATGAAGGCTACCATTGATACAAATTGAAAAGGAAGGGCTAGTGATGCAGGCCTTGATCCAAGAAATCATGACAGGAGGAAAGGCCATAGCCTTGAGAATATCAAGTATAAAATCCCATCTCACACTATCATAAGCTTTCATGATATCCACCTTCATAGCACACTTCGGAGTAGGGGAATGCCTGTGGTACCCCCTCATAAGCTCTTGAGATAGGAAGATATTATCAGAAATTCTCCGACCCTGAACAAAAGCGGATTGAACAAGGTCAATAAGATCAGGAAGAACAGATTTAATCCTGTTAGCTATGATCTTAGCAATGCACTTATAGATGGTGTTGCAACAAGAAATAGGCCTGAAGTCACCCACTTTCGCAGGGTTGGGGACTTTGGGAATGAGAGCAATGATTGTGCTATTAACTTCAGACAGAAGTTTGCCTGACTAAAAGAACGTTCTAATGGCTTGGATAACATCTCTCCCAACAATAGCCCAGGATGTCTTAAAAAAACCCGCAGAGAAACCGTCAGGACCGGGAGCCTGATTGGTCTTAAGAGACCAAAAAGTATCCTTGATCTCTTGGTCAGTTACAGGGCTCGCAAGCACAAGAGATTGATCAGGAGAAACACGGGTCTTAACCAAGGATTGAATTCTACCAAAACCATGATACTGGTCATCAAACGGGGTACCAAACAAACCAGAGAAAAGTTTGTAAATGCATTCTGGATGTCCTCTATTTTAGAAGATTTTTGGCCATCCATCAACTCCAGATTCAAAATCTTACCCCTATTGATATTACCCTTAATGGTTTTGAAGAAGAAGCTACTATTTCTATCTCCCTGGCTAAGCCACTGGACACAAGATTTCTGAAGAGCCAAACTCTCTTCAACAGCCAGGAGGTCAACATGCTGCTTAAAGATAGTGCGCTCAATTTTCTGCAACTCACAATTACTCGGATCCTTATCCAGCTTACATTGAGCAGAGAAGAGCTTACCCTTAGAGGTTTGGACTCTGGTAGTTATGTCACTAAAGTCTTTCTTGTTCAGAGCCTTAAGTTCAGGCTTCAAATATCTCAATTTTTGGCACACCCTATACGTAGGAACACCATAAATATACTGATTCCAAACTCTAGAAACCACCGAATTAAAGTCCTTATGGTCGGCCCAAAAGTCCAAATATTTAAAAGGTTTCTTAAAAGAAGATTTCTTGTCAGAAACATTAACCACAGCAGGAGAGTGGTCAGATATGCCAGAGGGTAAAAATGTGGCAAAAGAGGCAGGAAAGGTATCTAGCCAAGCCTCATTAACCAGCACTCTATCAATTTTGGTTGCAATGTAATCCACACTAGTTCTCTTATTGGCCCAGGTAAATTGGCAACCCCCGTAAGAGAGATCAACCAACTCAGATTTCAGAATGTATGAATTAAACTCCTCTTTGACCCTAGACCAACTAACAGAGCCCCCAGATTTCTCATATGGGTATCTTATAGCATTGAAGTCCCCCAGAAACATGATAGGAGTTTTGGACTGCAAATGGGAAGTCGTAGCCATAAACTCAAAAAACTCTTTTCGAATATCAGGTTTATTATCAGCATAAACAAAACAAATTTTAAACATGTTATCAGACGAAAATTCATGAACTTCGCAAAAAATATATTGGTCAGAAGCTGATAACAATGTAACCTTACAAAAAGCTGGGTCCCAGCAGACGCAGATCCTCCCAGTTTTAGTAGGTTGTGAGTTTGTCAAAAAGGGCCAATTGTTTACACCAGAAAAAATCTCCTGTTCATTTAAAGCTTTTATTTTCGTTTCCAAAATGCCCAAGATTTTAATGTCTTCATTTAACAAAAATTTTTTAACCTCCTTCAGTCGATGAGGATTATTAAATCCTCTAACATTCCAAGATGCAGTTTTTAAAGACATAGGAAATCACAAAAATTATGAACCCACAACCAGATAAACTGGGATTTACCTGCGTTTCTTCCTCTGGCTCTTGTTGCCTTTGCCAGAGGAGCTCCCTTTTGCCTTAGTGCCACCTTGAGCCTTCTTAGTGGCCGAACTACCAGGGGTGGTTTCCACTAGATTTTCCACTTTAGCCCGCAATTCTACATCATTGGGAAGAACCAAACTGGTAATTTCCATCAGACTGTTCTTCAAAGCCTTCAAGCCATCTATCTCTTGAACCTCAATCTCCCCTTCAGATGGAGTAGACACTGCCGATGGTACTGGAATAGTTTCCTGAGCCTCAATTTCCCCTTCAATCTCCACTGACTCCTCCTGAATGTGCTCTAGCTGTATACTCTGCCTTACATCAGTTTTCGGTAGGCCATCCTCCTTTGAATTTGCAGGAGTATCTATCTCAGGTACATCAACCTTTCTCTTACCCTTGGCTTTGACAGTTTCCCATCCCGGATCTGGGTTGTCTTCTGTTTGTTTCTGGAGGTTTAACAGGGCAGCCACTTGGGTCTTAACACATTTGGTAGTGTCATGCCCAAAAACTACACAGTGGTCACACTTAGGGGGTAAACCCTGATATTCGACTTTTACAACAGCTTCTGCATCTTCACAATTAACTTTAAACATCGATGGAAGAGTGGATGTTGCTTCAACCTCCACGCAGACTCTGGCAAAGGACACTCTACTACCCTGTTCAGTGAGCTGATCCATAAACAGAGGAGTACCTACGGCACTGGCAATCCGGCTCAGCCCATCACTATCCCAATACTCAAAAGGTACATTGAAAAACTTAGCCCAAACTGGAACAGTAGTAGCTTTTTCCTTCGAAAGCTTCATCATCCGAGTCCATTTTCAGAAAAAGGTTAGAACCACCTATGTACCATGGCCCTCCTTCAAGGACCGCACTACAACATTCAGGGCTTTCAAAAATGAAGAAGCTAAAGCCTTCTCCATTTGCTAGAACTTCCTTCAAGCCCTTATTTTTCCATAAAGCAAACGCACTGTTTTTCAAGTAATTATAAGCCACCCCTTTGTCCAGGAAGTACCCTACCAGACATGAGTCCCATTTCTCTAAGGGGTTGGGCCTTGGGGGGAGACTCACACTAACATAGCCATCACTTCGAATAGGGGGAACATACCTCAACGGGATATTAGATCGCGATGAGGATGCAGCCACATCAGCCCAGGATTTCGACGGGCCTTGACCTCTGCCTCCTCCTTGCCCTCTACCTCCTCTACCTCCTCTGAAATTTGAAAGCCCACCCCTTCGGGAAGCCATATCTTCGCGACCAACATCTCCGAGGTTTGGCGTCTGCACTGGGATCACTTCAGTAGTTTGGACCACCTCGACTGAGACAGTATTCTCTTCCAGCCCTAGATCTGTGGGACGATCTAGCAGATTCTCATCCTGATTCTTACCATCAAGCCTGTTTCGAGCAACCAGGACACTATCAGGTAGGTTTTGAAACAAAGGGGTTTCAAAATCCGTACGATCTGACCATCGCGCTGAAAATAATGAACCCGCGGTAGATGGCGAGATCATTATCGATGAGGATGGGTCTTTCATTCTCGCTATACGATCGGCCAATTGTTGAAAGTCTGAGGGTTTTACCGCCCTTCGTTCTCCCTGATTCGAAGATTTCTCCACGACCTCGGTATCGTTAGAATGCCCAAGATTCAAACCATCCCCATCTATGTGATCAGAAGGCAGATCCATGGACGCTGCACTCAAAACCACAAATCTGTTGCTAACAAACCCTCGTGTATCACTCGCTATACCCACCGTAGGGACGTTGCTAACCCTATCCTTTACCCGTAGATCCAAAGGACTCTCAGTATTTAGTAACGCATTAACTCCTGTCATCTTAATCAATGAGGAATTGAAACCCTAGAAACGCAGGTTTCTAGAGAGATGCGGGAGCTTCTCACTCTAACCCATTAGTTTTTCTAATCAACAACTAAGACGTAATTATGGCGTTTACTTACAATTTCTCATGCATTAGGATTTGAATACTCGGACACTTATTCGGACCCTCTTGCTTGATTTGCAGATACGTAATTATGGTATTTATTTACAATTTCTCGTGCATTAGGGTTCGAATATTCGGACACTTATTCAGACCGTTATGTATGATGGCATATATGTAATTATGGTGTTACTTATAATTTCTGATGCATTTGGGTTCGAATACTCAGACACTTATTCAGATGCTCTTGCATGATGGCAGATATGTAATTATGTGTTTACTTACGATTTCTCATGCATTAGGGTTCGAATACTCGGACACGTATTCAGACCATCTTGTACGATGGCAGATATGTAATTATGATGTTACTTACAATTTCTCATGCAATTGGGTTCGAATACTTGGACAGTTATTCGGACTCTCTTGCATGATGGAAGATATGTAATTATGGCATTTACTTAAAATTTCTCATGCATTAGGGTTTGAATACTTGGACAGTTATTCAGACCCTCCTGCATGATGACAGATATTTAATTATGCCGTTTACATAGAAGTTCTCATGCATTTGGGTTCGAATACTCGGACACCTATTCGGACCCTCTTGCATGATGGCAGATATGTAATTATGGTGGTTACTTACAATTTTTCATGCATTAGGGTTCGAATACTCTAACACTTGTTCGGACCCTATTGCATGATGACAAATACGTAATTATGGTGTTACTTACAAATTCTCATGCATTAAGGTTCGACTATTCGGACATTTATTCAGACCGTCTTTTATGATGGCAGATATGTAATTATGGTGTTACTTACAATTTCTCATGCATTTGGGTTCAAATACTCGGACACTTATTCGGACCCTCTTGTATGATGGCAGATATCTAATTATGTCTTTACTTACAATTTCTCCAAATTAGGGTTCGAATACTCGGACTCTTATTCGATCCCCCTAACATGATGGCAGATATGTAATCACGGGGTTTACTTACAATGTCTCATGTATTGGGGTTCGAATAGTCGGACAGTTATTCAGACACTCTTACATGACGGCAGATATGTAATTATGGTGTTTATTTAAAATTTCTCATGCATTACGATTCGCACACTCAGACACTTATTTAAACCCTCTTGAATGATGGCAGATATGTAATTATGGTGTTTACTTACAATTTCTCATGCATTAGGGTTTGAATACTCGAATACTTACTCAAACCCTTTTGCATGATGGCAAATATGTAATTATGGGGTTTACTTACAATTTCTCAAGCATTAGGGTTCGAATACTCGGACGCTTATTCGGACCCACTTGCATGATGGCAGATATGTAATTATGGTGTTTACTTACAATTTCTCGTGCATTAGGGTTCGAAAACTCAGACAATTATTCGGACCGTCATGCACAACGGCAGATATTTAATTATGGTGTTTACTTACAATTTCTCATGCACTGTGGCTCGACGATATTACTTTAACTTGGGGACACTCTTTCATGTTTTCTAAATCACCTATGTGTACAATTCTCAAGCCCAAAAGGATGAATTTCAATTCGCTTAAAATTTCATCCTAGGCGAATTTAAATTCATCCTCTTGGACTGGAGAATTGTACGCATAGGTGATTTAGAAAGCATGAAAGGAGCTCCCTAAGTTAAAGTAATATCGTTATGCCACAATTACACGGCAACATCTTCTCCTTGAAAGCTAACCAAGTTTAGTTTGAGTTGAATTTGGTCACATAAGCAGATTAAGCTAATAATTGCCAAAGCTAATTAGTTAGTGGATCAGAAGAGAGATGGACGGGGAACGACAGAGAGAGTAAGAGAGAAACTTTCTTCAAGAGCGGCAGAAGAGAAAGTCGGAGAAAAGAATGGAAAATACGATAAAAATGAAAGCGAATTGAAACTCATCCTTTAGTAAATGAGAATTGAACACTTAGTGGTTTTAGGAAACCATTTTTTTTTTTTTTTTTTGGGGGAATAACTTTTAGGAAACCTTAACATAAGTGAAACCAATATTGTTAAGCCACAATTGCTCACTTGGAAGTAGAGCAAGATTAGTTTGAGTTAAAATTGGCCACTTAAGCTAATGAAGCTGTTGGTTGCCCAAAGTAATTAGTTTCTAGAACAAAAGAGAGCGCCATGGAGAAGGGCGGAGAAAGTTAGGGGGAAACTTTCTTCCTGAGCGCTAAAAGAGAAAGTGAGAGAAAAGAAAAGGGGAATAGAGCGAAATTTTAAGCGAATTGAAATTCATCCTTTTGGAATTGAGCATTGAACACATAGGTGATTTGGAAAGAGAGAACGATGTATGTGATTTGGAAAGAGAGAACGATGGAGAAGGGCAGAGTGGGTTGGAGGGGGGAAAAAAATGAAAGCGAACTGAAATTCATCCTTTTGTAAATGAGAATTGAACACTTAGGTGATATAGGAAGCCTTAATTGAGTTTCTTAAGTGAAACTAATATTGTTAAGCTACAATTGCTCACTTGGAAGTAGCGCAAGATTAGTTTGAGTTAAAATTGGCCACTTAAGCTAATGAAGTTGTTAGTTGCCCAAAGTAATTAGTTTCTAGAACAAAAGAGAGCGCCATGGAGAAGGGCGGAGAGAGTTAGGGAGAAACTTTCTTCCTGAGCGCTTAAAGAGAAAGTGAGAGAAAAGAAAAGGGGAATAGGATGAAATTTTAAGCGAATTGAAATTCATCCTTTTGGACTTGAGAATTGTACACATAGGTGATTTAGAAAACATGAAATGAGTTCCTTAAGTCAAAGTAATATCGTTATGCTAAAATTACTCAGCAAAATCTCCTTGTTGAAAGATAAGCAGGATTAGTTTAAGTTGAACTTGGACATTTAAGCTGATTAAACTAATAATTGCCTAAGCTAATTAGTTAGTGACGCAGAAGAGGGAAGTATGGAGAAGGACGGATACAGTTAGAGAAAAACTTTCCTCTTGAGTGGTAGAAGAGAAAATTGGAGAAAAGAAAGGGAAATACGATAAAAAAGAAAGCAAATTGAAATTCATCCTTTTGTAAATGAGAATTGAACACTTAGGTGATTTAGGAAACCTTAAAAGAGTTTCTTAAGTGAAACTAATATTGTTAAGCTACAATTACTCACTTGGAATTAGAGCAAGATTAGTTTGAGTTAAAATTGGCCGCTTAAGCTGATGAACCTATTAGTTGCCCAAACTGATTGGTTTCTAGAACAAAAGAGAGCGCTGTGGAGAAGGCTGAGAGAGAGTTAGGATGAAACTTTCTTCCTGAGCACTAAAAGAGAAAGTTAGAGAAATGAAAGGGGGAATAAGGCGCAAATTTTAAGCGAATTGAAACTCACCCTTTTGGAATTGTGAATTGAACACATAGGTGATTTAGAAAGAGACAACGATGGAGAAGGGCGGAGTGAGTTAGAGGGGAAAAAAAATGAAAGTGAATTGAAATTTATCCTTTTGTAAATGAGAATTGAACACTTAGGTGATTTAGGAAACCTTAAAAGAGTTTCTTAAGTGAAACTAATATTGTTAAGCTACTATTACTCACTTGGAATTAGAGCAAGATTAGTTTGAGTTAAAATTGGCCACTTCAGCTAAGGAAACTATTAGTTGCCCAAACTAATTAGTTTCTAGAACAAAAGAGAGCGCCATGGAGAAGGGCGGAGAGAGTTAGGGAGAAACTTTCTTCCTGAGCGCTAAAAGAGAAAGTGAGAGAAAAGAAAAGGGGAATAGGGCAAAATCCTAGGCGAATTGAAATTCATCCTCTTGGACTGGAGAATTGTACGCATAGGTGATTTAGAAAACATGAAATGAGTTCCCTAAGTTAAAATAATATCGTTATGCCACAATTACATGGCAACATCTGCTCCTTGAAAGCTAACCAAGTTTAGTTTGAGTTGAATTTGGTCACTTTGAGTGGTAGAAGAGAAAGTTGGAGAAAAGAAAGGGAAATACGATAAAAATGAAAGCAAATTGAAATCCATCCTTTTATAAATGAGAATTGAACACTTAGGTGATTTAGGAAACCTTAAAAGAGTTTCTTAAGTGAAACTAATATTGTTAAGCTACAATTACTCACTTGGAATTAGAGCAAAATTAGTTTGAGTTAAAATTGGCCGCTTAAGCTGATGAACCTATTAGTTGCCCAAACTGATTGGTTTCTAGAACAAAAGAGAGCGCCGTGGAGAAGGCTGAGAGAGAGTTAGGGTGAAACTTTCTTCCTGAGCACTAAAAGAGAAAGTGAGAGAAATGAAAGGGAGAATAAGGCGCAAATTTTAAGCGAATTGAAACTCACCCTTTTTGAGAAGCTCCTCCTTCTCTTTAGAAATCGTTTCTTTTGTGAGATCATTCTTGAAATGGAAACTGTATCTGATGCTTTGGTTACTGAAGGAAACTTTAATGCGATTATTAATGAAGAGAGAGGGAATGAGAGATTCAGTGGGTCGTTTGGAGAATTTAGCCCTAAATGTTTAGATCTCTCTGAATGTGAGTTGGGTAACCTAGTTGTGCTTGCACAAAATAGTGAGAAGAAACGGAGTGGGGCTACGGCGTCATCCATCCAAGACCTTTCTGACCGTCTTGCGGCTATCAAGGCCAGATCGGCGATGGACGAAGACCGGCCTACTGTTGGATCTACGATGCCAGTGTTGTTAACCCCGGTGTCCACTAACTGGTCCGATAGGGTTGAAGGAGAAAGGCAATCAAAGCTGTTGGACCTGCCTGATAGTGTGGAGATTACTAAAAATCGGGGTATCGCTCATGGAGTAACTGTGGATGTGGTGGATCACTCTTCGCCACTGGTTGCAAAGGAAAAAGGGGATCTGGTCATGGAGGACCAAGATCTGGGTGTTGATGAATCTGATACACATGGCAGCCCTAGAGGTAGTCATAATGATCGTGGTTCTGAGGATTCGTGGCAGCCCTAGGGGTGGTCGTGGAGGCCGAGGGCAGAACAGACCCCCTGAGGGTAGATCGTGGGCTAACGTGGCGTCGTCTTCAGTCCGATCAGAGGTAAAACTCAACTATTACCCCCCCCCAAAATGGATCAAGATAAAATTGTGGTTGAGATGCCTCCCCCCTCCCCCACGGTGAAATGGGATGCTTGCCTGGTAGGGTATTTTATTGACAAAAATTTGCCTTACACCCTTATCAAAAATAATGCTAATAATATGTGGAAGCATAAGGGGTTGGTAGAAATTCTGAAGAATGATGACGGTTTTTTCTTCTTTATGTTTGAAAATCATGATTGTTGTATAGATGTGCTGGAGGGGGGACCTTGGTATGTAAGTGGCTTTCTGCTTATATTGAAACAGTGGCATCGCATGATGAAACTGTCTAAGGAAGACAAGAAGACCATCCCTATCTGGGTAAAATTCTTTAACATTCCTCTGGAATATTGGGATGGGGAAGGGTTAGGGAGAATAGCCAGTGCTGTGGGTGTCCCTTTGTTTATGGATCAACTTACCTCTTCTGGAAGTAGGATCTCTTTTGCTAGATTGTGTGTGGATATATCAGCTGAATCGGCCTTCCCTGACAGCTTTCTTCTTACTGATGGTGATGCTTCTATGAACATTCATGTGGAGTACCAAGGGGTTCCCTCGAGATGTACACACTGCCATGTTTTTGAGCATGAGACTAAGACCTGTCTTTCTGCTCAAGTAACTCACCTCATTGAATTACAGAAGAATTCAGAGGAACAGATTGAAGATGATGAGGGATGGACCACTGTCAAGGATAAGGGCAAGAAAAAAGTGGGGGATCCATCCTCCCCTGTTCACAGAGTCCCTCCTGAAGCCAACAGTTCATCTGCTACTAAAAGGGGTGAACCTGAGATCCAATCTGAGGGGGCTAACCTTCCAGTGGCTGACATTTCTGTTGAGGTTGATACGGAGCTTATTGATCTTCCCCTTCCGAGGTTATAGAAAATGTTAGCCCTGCAGCTGAGGATATTGTCCGTAATGTGGGAAAAGAGGAAATGCAAGCTAATTCTCCAGAAATTCTGGGAGGTAAGGGGACTGATGGTCTCAAAGTGGGTAGCTCAACAAAGAAGAAGTCTTCTGGCAAATCATGCAGCCAGAAGAAGAAAAGGAGGTAAATATCTTTTTGTTGTTTTTGTGGTGATCTGGTTGCATTTATTAAGTTTATCATGTCTTTTAAAATATCATCATGGAATGTTAGGGGGTTTAACAACCCATCTAAACACAAAGAAGTTGCTGATTTTGTTAGAAAAGAAGACATTAAAATAATGTGTATTTTGGAGACAAAAATTAAAATGGAGAATGAAGCTAAACTTTTTGCAAATAGCTTTAAAAGTTGGAATTTTTTGTCAAATTCACAACCAGATCTACCAGCAAGAATTTGGGTGTGCTGGGACCCAAACTTTTGTGATATTTTGATGCTTCAACAATCAAACCAGTATATTTTTGTCAAAATCCACGTTTTTGATACAGATTCCAGTTTCTTTGCCTTTTTTGTTTACGCTGAAAATAAACATGAGTTGAGAGTTCCCCTATTTTTTGATTTAAAGAAAATTGCTCTCAACCATGCTAGTCACCCATCCATCTTCCTTGGTGACTTTAATGCTGTTAGATTCTCTCATGAGAAAATGGGGGGGAAGGAGACGTGGAGTCAAGCAAATGAGTTGTTTAATAGACTAGTCTTGGAGTCTGAGTTGGATGATCTTTGTTACAAGGGGTGTCATTTTACTTGGTCCAATAAGCGGGGGGGTGGGAATTTTATTACTTCAAAAATTGATAGAGTTCTTGCAAATGAGAGATGGTTGTCTGCTAACCCAAACTCCTATGCTCTTTTTCTACCTCCGGGCGTATCTGATCATTCCCCAGTTGTTGTGCATCTTGGGGGTGAGGAGGGTAAGTTCAAAAAGCCTTTTAAGTTTTTTGACTTTTGGGCTAATCACTCTAGTTTCCTCCTGAGCGTGCATGGTGTTTGGGTTAAATTCATTAAGGGATCCCCTATGTTTAGGGTTTGTCAGAAGCTTAAAACCCTTAAGCCTATCCTAAGAGATCTGAACAAAAAAGAGTATAGTGAGATTTCCATCCGTGTTGGTGCTGCTAAGGATCAACTTCTTAATTCTCAAATTAAGCTTGATAAAGATCCGATGAATCTCCATCTTTAGGAAATGGAAAGGGCTGCTTACATTAAATATGTTGATCTCAGTAAAGCTAAGGAAAGTCTTGCCCATCAAAAATCTCGTGTCCAATGGCTTGGTTTAGGGGACAGGAATTCAAAGTTCTTCTTTCGAAATGTTAAGGGGAATGTGAATAAGGGGCGTATTCATAGTGTTGTGCTCCCGAATGGGGAGAGGGTGACTAATAGTGCTGAGATCCATAACTCTTTTGTGGATTACTTCACAAATTTGTTTGGTAAGCCGTTTGTTGACAATTATAATGGGTCTGAGAGGATTAATGTTCTTATCACCAAGAGAGTTTCTGACACTCAGTATCATAGTCTTGCTAGGGATGTTACTGAAAAAGAAATCATTGATGCTTTCAGGTCTCTAAAACCCAACAAAGCCCACGGCCCTTATGGCTATTCTGCGGGTTTTTTTTCTGAAAGCTTGGGACATTGTGGGGAGAGAGGTTGTCCAAGCCATCAAATCTTTTTTCTCATCGGGAGAGCTTCCTCCATTGCTCTTATCCCGAAGATCCCAAATGCTGAAAAAGTGGGGGATTTTAGACCCATTTCTTGCTGTAATACTTTGTACAAGTGTATTTCTAAGATCATTGCTGATAGGATCAAATCTGTTCTGAATGATCTTATTGACCCTGTACAATCAGCTTTTGTCCCCGGTAGGAGAATTGCTGACAATATCTTCCTTTCACAGGAACTTATGAGGGGGTATCATAAATTTTCTCAGTCTCCCAGGTGTGCTATGAAAGTGGACATCATGAAAGCATATGATAATGTAAGATGGGAGTTTGTTCTTGATATCCTTAATGCTATGGGTTTCCCCTCTAACATGGTTCTTTGGGTCAAAGCTTGCATGACTAGTCCCACCTATTCCATTTGCATTAATGGGAGTTTGCATGGTTATTTTAGGGGGGAGAGAGGTTTGAGACAAGGTGACCCTATGTCCCCTTACCTCTTTGTTTTAGTCATGGAAATTCTCTCTAGAATTTTGGCTGAGAAGGCTTCGCATCCTGCATTTAAATTCCATTGGAGGTGTGATCAACCTAAGATAGTTAACTTGTGCTTTGCAGATGATTTAATGATCTTCTGTAAGGGGGATGTGTTCACTATTCGGTCCATTAAGCTGGGGTTAGAAGAATTTAAGAGCTTGTCTGGGTTGTCACCTAGCCCTGCTAAGAGTCATATATTCTTTTCTGGTTGTGATAACGAGTTGAGGGATGAGATTCTTGGGGTTTGTCAATTCAGTGAAGGCAAGTTGCCTGTGAGATACCTGGGGGTTCCATTAGTTTCCACGAAACTTAAAGCCTCTGATTGTGATCAACATGTGGATCGGATAACTAAAAGGATTAAGAGCTGGACAAATAAGTGTCTTACTTATGCTGGCCGTGCTCAACTGATCCAATCTGTTTTGTTTTCGATGCAAGTGTACTGGACCTCTCTATTCATTCTCCCAAAGAAGGTCACTCGGTCTATCGAGCGCCTTTTTAGGGCTTTTTTTGGTCGGGTTGTCAGCTGAAAACTCATGGGGCTAAGGTTTCTTGGGATAGAATTTGCTCTCCCAGGAAGGAAGGGGGTATGGGGTTTAAGTCCATCTCTGTGTGGAATAAAGCTGCTATTGCGAAACATGTTTGGTTCCTCCTCTCTGGGGGTAAGCAATCTATGTGGTGTAGCTAGGTTAAGTCTTATCTCCTCAAAGGTAGGAGTTTTTGGAGGGTTAGGGTGCCAAATGACCCCTCTTGGGTCTGGTGGAAAGTTCTCTCCCTAAGGCCTATAATTTACCCCTTAATCAAGTATAAGGTGGGAGATGGATCTAGAGTTTTCTTATGGTTTGACAATTGGCACCCTATGGGTTCTATTTGGGATAAGTTTGGGAGGCGTATTGTGTACGACACCGCCTTAAGCATAGATGCTAAGGTGAGTCAGATTGTGGAGGGAAAATCTTGGAGATGGCCATTTCCTTCTTCTTGGGAGATTATGGATGGCAAGGACCTAGTGCATGTCTGTACATAGTCTGTTATAGGTTGACTCGTTTTGGACGATCCTGTCTGTAATGAATTTTGTGAAACCGTACTTTTGATGTGAGTTATTAACGTATCTGAGTATGGTTTGTTTGATGTGCATATAAGCACGGCTCTATGGACAAAGTTTTTAATTTTGCTTCCGTTTGGCCCCCATTAACTCTGTTAAAATACGTTTCCGACAGTTTGAGGCCGTAGGTAATCTCATGATTACTGGCCGGTTACGTCCTTAACCCACGGGGGCGGGTTCGGGTCGTGACACTAGAGGTAGTCGTAATGATCGTGGTTCTGAGGATTCGGGGCTCAATCCTGTCGGATTTGAGGGTAACACTCGTGGTGGTTTCCTTTGGGATGATTTGGTCCAGATTATTGCTAAATCTGTGAAAGGGAAATCCCTGGGGGCTATTATTACCAAGCTTGCCTTTACTTGTACTGTGTACCAGTTATGGGTTGCTAGGAATAATAGAGTGTTTAGTAAAGATATGGTCCCTGAAGAGGTGGTTATTAAGTGTATTGTAGATATGGTTAGGTTCAGGGTAATGCATATAACCAATTTGAAGACTAACCATAATGACAGCTGGTATCTTAGTTCATGGAAACTGCCTCGTACTATGCTGAAGCATGCTGCTGCTGATGTGAGGATTGAGAGTTCACTAAATGTGGGTTGAGTGAAGGTTAGCAAATAAATTGTGGGGTTTCCTAATGTTTGCTATTCATATAGGTGCTTGGAGTCCTGGAAAACTGATGGATGAGTGTACACCAACCAGTCTGAGGGTTGAGTTTCGTGTGAGGAATAAACACTCCATAACCCCCAACTTACTAGCCACATTGAGAGGAACTAACATGCTTATATATATCACTGTATTTTTTTCTTTTGCAGGTATATGGAGCTGTTTCCCGAGTGATGTGAGCATAGATACTTGTGGGTTGAGTGTAGTGAGCAATTATATGTGTGATGTTAACTGCTTCAGATTTCTGAGTTTTGCAAAGTACTCTAGTGTTGGTTACTTAATTCTGTTTGGTCCTTGCTGCATTACAGGGTCTACTATAATGTGTAGAATCTGTTCGGGTCACATGTGCTGTCTTGTTCTTCCTGTGTTGCTAGCTGGATTTGCCTGTGTTGATGGCTGCCTTCTTGTGTTGATGGCTGGATCTGCCTGTCTTGTTCTTTTCAATTCGGTGTGTCTCGTGGCTTGAAGCTGGACCTGCCTGTGTTGATGGCTGCTATATGCGCCTCGTGTGTGAAGTTTGATTTTCTATTATGCTTGTTTACATTAGAATCTGTTGGTGTTTTGCCTACCCGTGTGGGATGTACACGGGTGTACATGACATATGGATTTCATCTAACTTTTTGCTGCCTGTTATCGAGTGTGTTCATGCTCCTCATTTTTCATGCGGCACATCAACACATTTTGGCTATTTCTATTATGTATGGTTTATTTAGGTTAGGATGTATTTCATTTATTTTGTCCAGATAGTTCTGTTTTGTTTCGTCAGTTTTTCTGGGTAATTCTGGAATGGCTTAGTTTTTGTTTTTTCTTACTCTGGTTTCCTGTATAGTGTTTTGGTTAGGGCCTGGGGTATGCCCCTTGTCGTGGTGTAAGTTTTTTGTCTTTTATTTTATGACTTATCCACCCAAAAAGAAACTCACCCTTTTGGAATTGTGAATTGAACAAATAGGTGATTTAGAAAGAGACAACGATGGATAAGGGCGGAGTGAGTTGGAGGGGGAAAAAAAAATGAAAGTGAATTGAAATTTATCCTTTTGTAAATGAGAATTGAACACTGAGGTGATTTAGGAAGCCTTAAATGAGTTTCTTTAGTCAAACTAATATCGTTAAGTTACAATTGGAAGGAGAGCAAGACTAGTTTGAGTTAAAATTGGCCATTTCAGCTAAGGAAACTATTAGTTTCCCAAACTAATTAGTTTCTAGAACAAAAGAGAGCGCCCATGGAGAAGGGCAGAGAGAGTTAGGGAGAAACTTTCTTCCTGAGCGCTAAAAGAGAAAGTGAGAGAAAAGAAAAGGGGAATAGGGCAAAATCCTAGGCGAATTGAAATTCAACCTCTTGGATTGGAGAATTGTACGCATAGGTGATTTAGAAAACATGAAATGAGTTCCCTAAGTTAAAGTAATATCGTTATGCCACAATTACACGGCAACATCTGCTCCTTGAAAGCTAACCAAGTTTAGTTTGAGTTGAATTTGGTCACTTAAGCTGATTAAGCTAATAATTGCCTAAGCTATTAGTTAGTGGATCAGAAGAGAGATGGACGGGGAAAGACAGATAGAGTAAGAGAGAAACATTCTTCAAGAGTGGCAGAAGAGAAAGTCGGAGAAAAGAATGGAAAACACGATAAAAATGAAAGCGAATTGAAACTCATCCTTTAGTAAATGAGAATTGAACACTTAGCTGTTTTAGGAAACCTTTTTTTTTTTTTTTTGGGTGAATAACTTTTAGGAAACCTTAACATAAGTGAAACCAATATTGTTAAGCCACAATTGCTCACTTGGAAGTAGAGCAAGATTAGTTTGTGTTAAAACTGGCCACTTAAGCTAACGAAACTATTAGTTGCCCAAACTAACTAGTTTCTAGAACAAAAGAGAGCGCCACAAAGAAGGGTGGGGAGAGTTAGGGAGAAACTTTCTTCCTGAGCGCTAAAAGGGAAAGTGAGAGAAAAGAAAAGGGGAATAGAGCGAAATTTTAAGCGAATTGAAATTCATCCTTTTGGAATTGAGCATTGAACACATAGGCGATTTGGAAAGAGAGAACGATCTATGTGATTTGGAAAGAGAGAACGATGGAGAAGGGCAGAGTGGGTTGGAGGGGGAAAAAAATGAAAGCGAACTGAAATTCATCCTTTTGTAAATGAGAATTGAACACTTAGGTGATTTAGGAAGCCTTAATTGAGTTTCTTAAGTGAAACTAATATCGTTAAGCTACAATTGCTCACTTGGAAGTAGAGCAA